CTGCTGAGTCGAGGCGCAGCAGTGGAGGTAGACCCACAGGACGCCACCAGGGGGCTGTACTCCCCTTACTTCTTGGTGCCAAAGAAGTCGGGAGGGGTGCGTCCCATTTTGGATTTGCGTGTTCTGAACGAGTGCATTTCCAAACGGCAGTTTCGGATGCTGTCCACAAAACAGCTCCTCGAGTGTGTCAGGCAGGGAGACTGGATGTCCTCCATAGACCTGACAGACGCTTACTTCCACGTGCCGATAGTTCCGGAACACAGGAGGTTCCTGCGCTTCGCAGTGGGAGAGAGGAATTACAAGTACTGCCGTCTCCCCTTCGGCTACGCACTCGCGCCTCGGACCTTTTCCAAGTGCGTGGAGGCAGCACTGGAGCCGCTCAGACGCGCAGGGGTAAGAATATTAACCTACATAGACGATTGGTTAATACTGGCCTCATCCAGGGAAGTGGCCGTGAGTCACACGCACTGGGTCCTGTCCCACATACAGCGCCTGGGCTTTGTGGTGAACAGGGACAAAAGCAAGCTGCAGCCGGCTCAGCGCATGATTTATCTCGGCCTGCAGCTAGACTCTGTGACATTCCGTGCTGCATTGTCCGTGGATAGACGGATGAACATTACCCGTCTGGCCAGGGAGGTTCTGGCGGGTCCCTGCTGGGAATGATGGCGGCGGCTCATGCTGTGGTGCGGCTAGGCCTTCTCCACATGAGGAATTTTCAGAGGTGGTTCTCACGCCTCAGGCTTCACCCCTCCCGGGACGGGGGGAGGCTTATCTGGGTTCCCCAGGTGGCAGCATCGGACATCAGGTTCTGGCTCACTCCGGGTCTATTGCGGGACGGAGTGACTCTGGCCTGCGCCGTGTCTCACGTGGAGGTGTTCACAGACGCGTCACTTGAAGGATGGGGCGGGGTCCTCGGCCAGAGCTCTGTAGGAGGCTGCTGGTCGGACTCAGCCCGTCACATCAACCTGTTGGAGATGGAGGCAGTACACAGGGTACTGCTGCACTTTGCTCCTCAACTGCGGGGGAGACACGTGATGGTGCGCTCAGACAACACCACTGTGGTCTCCTATCTGAACAGGCAGGGGGGCACCAGGTCCCCCGCTCTCCATCGCATGGCGACGGTGACGCTGCTGTGGGCGGCGCTTCACCTCCTGTCTCTGAGGGCGCGCCACGTCCCGGGGGTCCGGAACGTGGGGGCCGACAGGATGTCCAGGGGGGGCCCACTCCAGGACGAGTGGGGCCTGGCCCCACGGGTAGCTGCGGAGATCTGGCGGAGGTTCGGCCGTCCAGTGGTCGACCTTTTCGCCAGTGCAGAGAACGCACAGTGCCCGTCCTGGTTCGCCTTAAGGGCCGCGGACCAGCCGCCCTTAGGCGTGGACGCTCTGGCTCATTACCCCTGGCCAGAGGGCCTGCTGTATGCTTTCCCACCAGTGCGTCTCCTGCCGGTCCTGCTGCGGAGGATCGAACAGGAGAGGAGGTCGGTGATCCTGGTAGCTCCGGACCGTCCGCATGCCCGGTGGTTCCCCTTCCTGAGGGGCATGGCGGTGATGGAGCCCTGGGCCCTAGTCCAGGGGGGGGGGGCCCTGTTTTCACGCCCGATAATTGGCCGCAGGCTCTGGGTTTGGAGGCTGAGAGGCGGAACCTCGTAGACCTGGGTCTTCCCCCTGCGGTGGTGGAGACCATTCAGGGGGCGAGGGCGCCGTCCACTGTGAGGGCCTACGCCACGAGGTGGAGGCTCTTCAGCGACTGGCGCGCTGGGTTGCCATGGCTGTGCGGCGGGCGTATCAGACGCAGGGTCTGGCCCCCCCGGTGGGCTTCAGGTCGCATTCCACGCGTGGGATGGCGGCCTCTACGGCCCTCCTCAGGGGGGCGTCGGTCGAGGACGTCTGCCGTGCGGCTTCTTGGGCGTCGTCCTCTTCTTTCGTCCGGTCTTATCTCTTCGATGTGTCGGACTGGTCGGTGGCCCATTCCGTGCTGAGTGCAGCGGACTGAGTTGAGACCGTTGGGTCCCTCCTCTGAGGGGGCGTTCGGTTGACTTTCCGCCCTGGTTCAGGAGCTCTTGGGAGAGGCGTCCTACAGGTGCGGTACTTATATGTGTGCTTGGTCAGTCAGGTAGTCCACGTCAGCCGCTCTTGGGAGAGGCGTCCTGGGACTACGGGTGACCTACGGTCTGTGTTACGTGGGGGTATCCTTGGGAGGAGTGGCCCTGTAACACGCATTTGCTTCTTCTGCCGTGAGTCCTCTCACTTGTGAGGGTCTTGCTCGGGCGGAGCTCCAATCACCCTTCGCTGGCCTGCTGGGAGTACATGTTCCTACGGCCTCCGCGTTGTGTCCCACTAGCGAAGTCCTAAGGGACGTAGCACCATGACGTAGAATTAATAGTTACCTAATGTAACTTAAGTTCTACGAATAGGTGCGTAGTCCCTTAGCTACGAGCCCATCAGGCCAGCCCGGCTTGGCAGAGTTCAAGAGGGGGTGCGGCTTTGTGCAGGGGCCTTTATAGAGGAGGGTCGCTGGTGATTGGAGCAAATTATTTTGATCCCTCTGGCCTGTGACCTGGGGGTCACGAGCAGGGCTGGACTGGCCATCGGGCGTACCGGGCAATGCCAGAAGGGCCGATGCCCATATTTGGGCCGGTCTGTTTGCCTCATACAAAAAAGATGTTTGTGAAAAGTGTAAATCCGTTGAGAACTGTTCGAGGGGGCGCGCGTGTCCGCGGGGCACCTGCTGTATGTACTGGAACGGGATTCTACCACCTCAGCGGCCGCAGTGTTCCGGCATCCAGCGGCTCTGAGCTGGACGCGGGAACCGCTCACCGGGAGCCGCTCACATCACAACACGGTGAGCGCGTAGCCGCAACTTGACCATATACCCAAGACCATAAACATCCACAGGACCATGCGTGTCTTTGCGTAATTTGTGCACCCAATAAATACACCGCTGCAGGAAACAGTCCGCGTCTCCCCTCTCCTCTCGAATTGCGACTAAATTAAAGCTCGGGTGTTTTCCATTGCATTAAAAGTTCATGTTTGAGCCCAAAAGTAAAATGTTGTGAAAAAATTAAACAGATTTAGAGCCAGCCAATGGCTGACATTATGCATTTCAGACTTTTTTGACCAATTCTCATCCCTGTAACAAACAACAGTGTTGTCTGTGTCCACCTCCCTCACTCTGAGACATGTTTATTACTCTCTTGTAATGTAGACTATTGCACTTTATTTTTTTGTTGAAACTGTAGACATCCTGATCCTCTACAGTATTTGCTTCCACAAACTGTATAAACAAGGGGTCGGCAACCTTTAGTGCTCCTCCAGTGGCTCCTGGAGCCTTTTCAAAAATGTCTGAAAATGGAGTGGGAGGGCTATATTTTATTCCTAGTTTGAATGTGGTTTCTGTAGGAGGAAAAACATTCCTAACGTATTTCAATGCTGTAAAAATGTGTATAAGTAATATTCAATTTCAACATTTCTGTCAACGTAGTGCGTCATATCCTGTGACGCAGCCCCGCGCCAGGCGGCCGCTGCTGTAAACAAACCGGCGTGTGCGCACGGATCCCAAAGATAAAAAGAGAACGAGTCGATAATAAGACTGGACTAAGAACAAGACTGAACATTTGCTTTCAGTCAATGAGGAAGGACTGCTTCATGTTTGCGATGTAATAGGAAGTTTTGTTGCAACACGAGGAACAATGAAGCACTAAATACCGTTCACAAGGATTACGTGAAGGATTCTTTCATACAAAATAAATCCGGAGCACCTTTTTCAGACTTCAAAAACTTCCGCAAAGACTGTGAAAGAAAAGGCCATTAAGGACATTCAGCTCCAGCAAACTTCAGCCTGTGACGTGATCGATATGAGCGAACAGTGCAGGTGTGTGACCTTTGAGCCAAAAAGCAAATTTATTTACTGTATTTCTACAGTTGCATGAAGGCAAAAAAATGGAAGTCAAAGTTAAAGCAAAGTCATCACGTGGTGCGTCATTCTCTCCAGGACGCGCTGCAGTGAAAACACACATTTGACAATCATGAATGCTAATCATGTATTTGTAGCCTTTACTTGGTCATTTAGATAATAGGCTAATGTAGCTCATGTTAGCTACATTGTGTAACCTTCATATAAGCTTTATACAAGACTGTTATTTTTTTGCGGCTCCAGACAGATGTTTTTAGTATTTTTTGTCAAATATGGCTCTTTGAACCTTTTGAGTTGCCGATCCCTGGTATAAACAAACTGTAAAAAACGTGACAAAAACATGCCTGGGCCGGTAAGAAGGAAAAAATGCCCGGGCCGTTTTTTTGTCCCAGTCCAGCCCCGGTCACGAGTGATATCCCACTAGCGAAGTCCTAAGGGACTACGCACCTATTCGTAGAACTTAAGTTACATTAGGTAACTATTAATTCTGCAACGTCTCACACTCTCTCTGACTCAGGTTGCCAGATATGCAGACGAATCCAGCTGGGACCATAATAGCTGAATATACAAGAGTTTTACCAACACCTTTTTCACAAAGATGGTTTTGTCATTAATGAGCATGATTTATTAATGCCTTTTGACAGATTTGGGCCATTTAATGATGACTTGACATGAAAATCTTGCATATTTCTACTTTAAGTGAAGACGCAAAAGCTACTCAGTACAGTATCTGCTTCATTATTATTTGATTCCATAAACCTGGACCAAAGTGGGTTTGCAAATTGCGCAACACGCCGCATGAAGAGATTCGACTATGACTGTCCCAGACTATAGTTTGTGTTGTTGAAAGTGGAAGGAATAATGACCATGAGGCTCTTCATCATGCTGCTGGTTTCAGTTACTTTGTTACAAGATACTGGGCGTCTGGAAGCCTCGCCCACTTCTCACAGTAGATGAACAACAACATGTATTATTGTAGACTAAGTGGTTATTGGCTGACGCTGTTAAAGACGCGCTGATGGGATTTCACGCTTGACCCCAGTGCGCGCAGCGCTAAAAGAGGAGGGGACTGTAGCTGACGCGGACAGATGATCGCCTCTGCTCCGACAGACCCGGTCAGACTACGGGGAGGTACCGCTGCAGGACAAACCCTCCACACTCATCACCGTGTTTTATCCACGCTCTGCTCTCTGTTCTACCGGGCGCACGCAGAGTCCAGGACCAGACCAGAGTTCCCGCCCGCGCCCAAACCCCCTGCTTTGTCAGTTATTGTCTGGCATCTTCTGAAAGTGTCTGGACAGGACTTTGTCAGGTATGCTGTCTTTATCTAAAGTTGTATTTATTGTCAGTTCGTTGCCCGGTGCAAAGAAAATATTACTGAAAGGTCTTTGAAGTTCAGCTGATATAATTGCCTGTGCATGTTGACTCCCTGATTTGCATAGGACTATGGACTCTCCTTTGTGGCAGCTCACTGACACCTGGTCCTACATCTAACCAAAGCAACATGACCATATCTTTGCGTCTGTTGTTGCATTGTTGCTGCTTACTTGAGTAGTTCAGAGATTGTGGAGCCATGTCACCTCAGGGGGTGTGACTCAGTCACTCAGACTATTTATGGTGACGTTTTCAGAGCCTACATGTGGCGTTTGAATGGAGCCTCTTGGACAGGACGTGCTGTCAAAAACATCAGCCACAATCACACTGTGTCAGATTATCATTTAGGCTTCACAACTGCAACTTTTCAATAAATAATTGAATGAATATTTTGGCTCTAACTTGACTGTAGCCACTCACAATATGCAGTTGGAAACCTTTCCCCAAAATTCTTAAGGGCAGCAACAATATTAAAACATACAAGTGTGTGTGCTTGTTGCTTTTGAATTTCAAAAAATATACTTGATGTTGTGACATTAGTCACCACAAAGCTGATCCGCCCCACTCAAACTTTTACAAAATGTTCATGATGGGGTGCTTTTCATCTCAGTGAACAAACCAGCATGGTGCATCCAGTGCAGTCCAAGTCCATGTGACTGTGAGCTGTAGTAACAGTGATAAAACAGTATTTGACTTCCTCTTATTGACTAGGTTCCACTGCAGTGAGCTGGGAGTTATTGTTGCTCTGTGGGGCAGACGTCTCATCAGAAATGCATTAGAGAAATGTGATTAGTTTTATGTGAAGAATATCCTCTCTCCAGGACAGAGCACACAGACTGCACCTCGCCCCAATAATGTCACAAATCAGATCCACATATTTCCTTAAAATATATAAGAAATAATACGCTCGCCATTGGAATGTTTGGGAATCAAAGAAGAATCTATTTTCCCTGAAGATGACTTCTTAAAAAGATTATATATATATATATATATATATATATATATAAATATTTTGGTTTTTTTGTTGTTTTTTGTTGTTTTTGTTCTGGATTTTTTAACAAACTTTTGAATGGACCCTAAAGGAGTCTTTAAAATGTTTCCGAAAAGTATTTTCATGTATGCCACAGAGTGGTGTCATTCTACTGCACACATTATACTTACACACACACACACACACACACACACACACACACACACACACACACACACACTTCAGTGCAGTTCAGATTAAGCTGCAGTCAGAGTAAAGCCACTTTGTCGGTGAGAGTCATCCTGAGCCGCACTCATGTAACAGCAACTAACCTCCAGCCGCCTGTGTCCAGCTCATGTGTCAACAAAGGTTAGATACAAGGATGTGCTTTTCACATTTGGAAGTTGGGTGGTTTGGTTCAACAAATACAATTTGATGATGATCTGTCAGGAATGAACCAGACAGAGACGGATCGTGGTGCGCCAAACTCTGGAAGTTTATTTTGGTTTCTCTCAAGTTCCAGTGGTTTCAATGGTTTCTTTCTCTCAGACAGAATAAAGGCAGTACACAGTTTATATAGTCATTGTCACGTCACACATGGAAAGACGTACGTGTCACACAGAGACAGTCACATCATAGTCATAACATAGATGCACCATCAAAGTCCTTGTACAGTCTTGTGCTTGTCCTGCACGGAGGCCAAATCGCTATCTAATCCTAACAGATCCATTGAGACATATGAATATATGAATACTTTACATGGAAACATAAAGCAAAGGAAAAGGTATGGATGGATGATGCTTAGCCACAAACAAGACTCCAACTTCCACTGAAAACCCTGTTTAAATGTATCAGCCTTATGCTTCACAATTGAAACAGAAAACAGCTAATATAATTAAACGTTTATACTTGCCTCTTATTTTGCCAAAAGTAAATCTTTTACACTTCTTTTTTATTATTATTTTCAAGATAGAGATTTTATACTTGTTATTGATGCTAGAGTTAGAGATTTTGTTTTATTTCAATAGTACAGCTATTGTTCACTGTCTGCTCCTCTTTCCTACTGTTCTATAACTTGTGATGCAACTTGTGATTTCCCCACTATGGGACGAATAAAGGATCTCTTAATCTTAAAAGAATAATCATAATTGTGATTAAATTAAAGCTCAATTTACAAAAGAATAGGTCACATGACGGAAGCTCAGGACCTGTCACCATAAAACGTGGATCTAATACGATACAGCACAGAGTGGACAGATCCTGAGGCATCATAAAGACACAAATGAAAATGTGCTATTAGACTGTGTGGACAATAGAAAGCTGAGACATCACAGACACAAACATGAGTAAACTGCACATTGACATTGAATGGAATACAATGCCATGTACATTGCTGTACAGTGAAAATGGAGAATTTCATCATTAAAGTCTTAAATATTATTATATTATCATTATTATTATTTATTTTACTGAAGTATATGTTTGTCCTCCTGCTAATGTCAATAGAAGGAATCCCTCCCCTTGCCAGTAACCACAGCCATTCAAATCTTGCCTCGGAGCCAAATAGTGTGGTATAGTCCAGACAGGAAAGGGGATTGAGCCCGGACGAGCGGTCACTATGAACAATGCTCTCTCTCTCTCCTTGAATATTTGATGGCATCGCTAAAATATTACCTCTCATATCAAAGATTGTCTGAATCTGACATAAATAATTATATAAATGTATCAAATAAAGCAAAATTCATTATATTACACGCAAAACATAACGTACTGTAAGTATAAAAATGTTTGATTATTCTTATTTCAGATTCTGTCTTGTCTGACTGGTTCCTATCCACTGGACCATGGAGCATGAAGTCAAGATGGGGCTGTCCGTGTGGGCCATCGCTGCTATCGTGTGCAACTCTGCGGTGGGCGTCCTCATCTTGATCCTGTTTGTTATTCTCTACAAAGCCTGCAAGGTGCCTTCAAAGCAGAAAGAGAAACAGGCTGTCCTGTCACTGGACGCTGACAGGAGGACAGTAGAACACAAGTACTTGTTGTCTGCTGCGTGATGAAGACATTTCCAGTGGCCATTATCACTCATTCCATATTTCCCTTTGTTTGAGTGAAGTGAATGAATGACAGGACCGACAACAGCATCAAGCAGCTCAGTCTTCTTATCCCCACTGTGACGCTGGGACTGTCCATCTGTCACTCTGTTTGCTTTGCACATGTGCAGACTGATCCCTCTGCAGAGCACTTCACATGTTGCAGAGGGTAAGTTGTGGAGAAGTGTCCTGCACACACTGGGAATGGGAGTACTCATGTAGGGCGCAGAGATGATTCTCCTCACTGGAGGAAGTGTCTTTGAATAAATTGTACATTATAATCATGCTTTTTGGGCTGAAAACTACACGCAATATTTCAATTTTTTTCAAACTCAACATGTAAATGTTACTTCCATGACCCGCTCATTGCCTCAAAAGACAAAAAACATTCCAAGCTAGATCAAAGCATGACATTTCCGGTACATATTGTGCTGATATTTCATGATCATGAAGCATAAACTTATATTTACTGCTTTACAACAATTGATGATACATTTTTATACTGACCAACAAACATGTTTAGCTACCTCCACAAGGGGTGGCGTGTGTTACCTAGAATATAACATAACTCAAAGATTATGGGCGTATTTTGACAACATTTTCAGATGTTTCCATGTCAGAAATACAACAGCGCTGTTATTTTTCACTGTCTAGATCCAGGAATTTTTGAAGAAATGAAACTGTGCCTCTTGGTGAGAGCTCTGCACTCCATGAGTGTTTTTCTAATTTGTCATTATATTTTTGTTCTTTGTATTAAAGAGACATTTGTGACGCTGTTATCAGTGTCAGACACATGGCCTCAGCCTCAGTTTCCTGCCGTTCACTGCAGGCGCGACACATCCTTCTGCACTTTGTGTGTGAACTTTGGAACAGATCGAAGTCGTTCTAATAGGAGCACAGATGTGAAGACTAGACCTGGTATCAGTGTAAGGCAAAGCTTGGGATTAGCATTTTATATATTAATGATAATAATTATAATTGATACACATTGTTTCATGACACTCAAAGATACGTCACATGACATTATTAATTCACTTTGTACATGGTAGTCATAAACTACCACTGAAGCCGCAGGTGCCCTAAAGAAGACTGAGAGAAGTGAGGTAATCAGTATGTTCCTTCAGACCACCACCAACCATTCACACACACACCAGACTCATTCCAAGCAACGTGGGTGATATCTATAGCAGTACCTGTGCCCATCACAGTACTGAGCAGACCTTGGCCTGCTGAGAAAAAAGCTAAGCTTTGTGTTTGATGAACTAATCCAACCTATCGACTGGAGAGCACATTTGAAATCCTTTCTAAAGAAGTGGAGCTTGTCATAATGGTCACAGTTTAACAAGTCAAGCTCAAAATCCAAGGTACATAATATCTTCTGCCTCTGTGACGTGGGATTGAGGAGAACCCCAAAATGTTCCTTTCATCGTCCAGCAATATCCCCAGTCGAGGTCAGACGGCCTCCACCAGGATCGTACACTGTGTTGGCAAAGCACTGGAGCACGAACGGTTTATCAGAATCTGTCTGAGGCTGACTGATAGTCCTGCTCCTTGGACTCTCCGAAGTCCTATTGGACAGCAGCCTCAGGAGTACGTCCCACGATCCATCATGGTTCGGTAGGACTCCTTCTTCAGCCTGTTGGCATTCCTTTCTACCCATGCCCACCATCGGATTCGAGGTGGACATAAACGTATAGTATAGAGGCACTGTGAGGCTACAGGAAAAAGTAGAGGAGTTGTTAAAATGTCTGCTCCCTTGGAGTCCGCTCTGACGTCCGTGGCCCTTACTTTGAGCATATTGATGTTGGAACATGTGTTTATGATATGTTTGTGGATTGAATGATTGAGCTTTGGCTTGAGTGCAATTAGAAATGTGATGAAGTGCCAGTGATATTACTACAGTCATTCAAGCTGAAAGTACATGGTTTTGGAAAAAGTGGTATTGGTGCATCTGTCTGCACCATGTGCCCAGGGCAGAGTGGCAGATGTGTGGCAGCCTTCTTGAATTGAGAATTAAGAATATGATCATAAGTTTACAACTCTAATCATGTTCATAAATTTAAAAAATATATTTAAACATTGTTTATCTTTTGCCAGTATTTTTTCTCTGTGCCTCTGGCTTCCTTTCATTTGTTTTGCAATCCACCCCGCATCACGGCTAAAGCTGGTGAAAGTGTCCAGCTCAGGAACATGATCTCCCTGTGGGCTGCAGGACCAGAAGGTCAGAGTAATCTGCCTCACAGCATCCATGAGCATTTCCTGGGACACTGCAGGAGTCTGAAACAAGACGGCCAATGGTTCATCTAGTATGAGGTCTCAAATTATTTATCATAGAAGGCATGCAATAAAAAAAAAAATTAAAAAAACATACTTATTTCAAGTTAAATCATAATGAAAAAGCATAACTCTGTCTTCAAAGTCAGTGAGGGAACAAGGGGGTCTTTTCTACATATATGTATGTATATATGTTAAAAAAAAAAAAAATAGACACAAATGGTGAAACTTGTCTACGTGTTTTGATAAAACCTACACTTTGGTTTTGATAATATAATATCTTGGTGTGTCTATATTAGATATAGAGATATATGCCTGGTAATCTGCGCTCCATCTGCACCACTGCCTTACATAACACTGACACACATCAGGACCATGTCTGTCAGGGCACATCCAGTCACAGCCAGTGTTTGTGTGCTCCAAGGATCAAATATTAATCCAGGCTTTGCATGTTTCAAAAACTGTAGTTTACATTGCAGATCACTTCTGAATCGTGCACAGCAAAATCATGAAGTGACCAGAATACAATGAAAGATCTTACTAAATAAGATAAAACCGTATAGGCTGTAAATATAAAACAGCTGACATCAACGTTATTGCCTGACGTAAAAGTTGCATTTCATGGATGGATTGTTTGAGGCAGATACATATCTTTTAACAAGGCCCGTGTCACCTGCTGATTGCTCTCCGACCAACGCTGTCAGTCAAACATGAGAAAACAATACGTTCTCTATGTTCAGGAGTGCACGGGCGCCCTCTGCTGCGGACTTTCAATATTGCAGGGTTGCCTCACTTCAGCAGTGATTTAAGGACCCGTGCCTCAAATGTGGCACTGTTCTTTTAATTGCGAGAAAACCAATATCAACAAATATCTTGAAGGAAAATGTAAATTTTCATTTACAATTTCAATAAATATGCTATGAATCAAAGACAGTACAAGGCAACATCATTCACAGTGTAAAGTGTAAAAGATAGGAGACTACTTCACACTGGGACAGGAGCCTGCTTCATACTGGGACAGGAGCCTGCTTCATACTGGAACAGGAGCCTGCTTCATACTGGGATAGGCCGTGAGTCCATGAGGCCATCGGCAGCTTACGTTACCCGGAAGTGTGCGCCTCCGTCACCCATCACACCATCGACGCACTGCTGAGATGAGACTGTTATGAATGTGAACGCTCCGTAGTGAAATCTAGAGTTTGGAATTTCCTCCCGCATCACCTCCGGATTGTTCATACGTGTCTTCGGGGGTCGGTTGGTAGAGGAGCCACCGCCAACATGATGGAAGAAATAGATAGATTTCAAGTGCCCAGCGTCGTGCAGGACGCGGAGATGCAGGCGGAGATGCAGCCGCTGGTGAGCAGCTCTGTGGACTCGACACATCCCAGTCCCCGCTCCTGGTTATTGTTTACTGTTTAGGCCTGCCATAGTTTGGAATAGCCTGCGTATTATCTGTGTATACATTAGGACAATATAGTGATGCATGTGTACCCCGTAGCACATCCCTTGCCCCGTGTGACTGTCATGACGGAGTGTTTCTGTAAGGGCGTCCAAGCGCACTTTATTGATGCTCGCAGCATCCGGTGATGTTTGCAGAGCTGCATCATGTCTGTCGAAAAATACACCGGATCCCGAAAGCCTCCACCACCACGTCAGCATCAATGGGCCCTGAGCTTACGCAACTCATATTTACCATCAGGAATATATGAGACCTGCTGAAATGTGATTTTTATCAAGTGCGAATAGATGTTTGTGAGTGGAGGTTCCTTTGGCCTATTACCGGGGGCAGGAGTTACTGCATGTCCAGACAGCCACAAACCACCCAGAGCACCAACTCAGTGGCCTGGATTTCAGCGCAGTTGTTGTTGTAACTACAGTGTTTTTGGATACAAATTTGGTCCACAGCTCAGATTGCAGTGATATTAGACTTGGTTCTGTCCACATTGTAATGTGTCCATATTGTGTGTCATTATTCAGGACCCAGCCTCATCCACCACTTCAGAGGCAGAGTCAGACACCAGGGAGGGTGAACCTGTCTCCATCAACTACAAGCCCTCTCCTTTGCAGATGAAAATAGGTTGGAAAACACAGTATCCGACACATCCGAGTGCCAGCCTTGGTTCATTAGTTCCAGGGAGACATCCATGACCCTTTGAACTTATTTCAGCACCATGGACAGAGTCCAAAAGGACAATACTTTAGTGGGACTTTGTTGCAGGTGGGATTCCCCTCTGAGGTTTGAAGTGAATTCAACTTTAAGAGAATGTAACGTGACAAGATAATGTTGCATTATAGTCTTCAAAACACAAAATAGACGTGTGTATTCTTAGTATTTGGACTGACACATTCGGATATTCACAACTGCTGACAGTGACATAATCCAAGAGCATGAACTTTAGGATTCAGAAGAGAGAGTTCTTTATCATTTGGTTTAAGGAAATATGATGAAGTCATGGAATGTGGAAATCTATAGTGGATATAACAAGCTATTTCTTCAGACACAAAGCAAAATTGATAGCACACTGTTTTCATACACTAATTAGAAATATAACTTCACAATGACTAAAATAGTTTTGATTTCAACATCTTCCCATCGTTCCTGGAGCCACTGCCTGGCTATTTTTTTATTCATTATTAATTCAGATTTAGTAATAATAATAATAATACATCAAACTTGTATAGCACTTTGGACACTCAAAGACGGTTCACATGGGGAATAGACTAGCGTATGTATCTCTCCGGGGTCAATTCATTTGTGCAACATGGGGCATTAAGACCGGCATGAAAACACATGAAAACATGAAATGTCAAATACAACAAATAATTACAAATAGCGTAAGAGTGACAGTGTGAAAACTAAAACTCATTTGGACGTTTGAAAATGACTGCATAATTATTAGGTCATGTTATAGTTATTGTTTCTGTTGTGTGCAGAGAAACAGAGAGAACTTGGGAGAAAGGGTTCACTGAAAAACACAAACACTGTGGGGAGTCCAGTCAACCAGCAGCCCAAGAAGAACAACGTGATGGCCCGGACACGGTGAGCACTGTTCTCCTGCAGCGATACAACTGTGGCGTCAGAGGAGGCATCAAACTGCTGTTGACACTGATCACGTTCCCTTTTGTTAAGCGTAAGGTTCAGGCTCTTCTCATCGGACCTCTTTGTTTTCATCCTCAGCCTCTGCCAATCACTGTGTTTATGCACATGTGCGGAGAAGTTATAAAAAATGATAATAGTAATACAGAATACAGGCCATACACACCAGTAGTTTAGCTTGTACAAAAAATTAATCTCTCTCCTCCATCTAAACTCTGTGAGTGAAAGAATGTGCTGCACCGTGTTTGTAAGGACAACATTTACACAATTTCACTGCTGTAGTAAGAAACAGTTATATTCTTTGTATTGGTTGTATTATTTGTAATCGGTAGTAGTAAGTAGAAAGTAATATTTATATTTATTTATATACCGCCTTTCACAGACCAGAGTCACAAAGCGGTTTACAATTGTTGTGGGCATTTGTCTCTCACTCCACACAGAGATGGGAGCGTGGCCAGTACAGGAGGCGCATGCCAGACCTATTGTACATGTTTTTAGTGGTAGAGGAAACCGGAGCTCCCAGAGGAAACCTGCGCAGACATGAGGAGAACATTGCAAACTCCACTCAGAAAGGCCCTGTTCCGACTGGGATTCGAACCCAGGACCTTCTTGCTTAGAAGCGAGAGTGCCATCCACTCAACCACCGTGCCACCCAATTTCCCTAATCATACAAATTGATAACATTTCAATATTTTTACATACAAGCTTTTGACTTAATAAACTTAAATTGTTTATTAAGTGACTAGAAACTGAATTATTTTCCTATTTAGTAACTCAGTAATGTTCCAAAAACAATCCTGGGAATTTGTTATTATTAATAGTCAAATCACAAGCAGATCAGTGAATTGCTTTGTTCCAATTAGAGGTGTATCAGTTTAGAAAAAATATGATTAATACCTGGCGCCACGCAGAAAGAGCTCCCTGTTTCACATGGTTTTAATCCAGACCGTCAAATTGTTATTGTGGCTCTTTTGTAATTGAATAATTTTAACAAGTTGATTGGTTGTTTTAGCTCTAATTCCAACGCTTGGAAATAATCAAGTTTGAAAAGTCAAGAACATAATGGAGCTGTGAAAGTGATTTAAGCCCAGTTTAATCTAACACTCTATGAAAGTGTCAGTACTTAACAGAAACCCCTGTAACTATATGATGTGTAAGGTATACACTAACAATAAACCCAAGATTGATTGATATATGAAAGTAATTAGTTCAGTAAGTAGTTTGTGGTTTGGTGCGTCTAATACACTGCTCTTGTTCTTTCTCCTCCTCCACAGGTTGGTTGTGCCAAATAAAGGATATTCCTCTTTAGACCAGAGCCCAGATGAGAAGCCTTTGGTGGCCTTAGATACAGACAGGTAAACATGTGCATTGAATTCATATTTATTTTATAGAGATTGCTAATCACTACATGTATTTGGAATTGTAGTGATGATGACTTTGACATGTCGAGATACTCCTCATCAGGATACTCGTCTGCTGAAGTAAGTGCTTGAGCTTATTTAAGTATGATGCGTTGTTATGTTTGGCTGTATAAGGAGTTCTAGAATAGCTGACTGGAGATACAGTGCTAATAACATGTATCACTGATGCTACAAAACAGGCCATATTACGCATCACTTCATTTAGGACTGACCTCTTCATGGTTTTCAAGGCCATAGTTTGCATGACCTGTAGTTGTGATGAAGGAAATAAATAGTTAAGCACATTCAAGAGAAATTAATATGTTATGTATTTTTATGAACATTCTACCTGTTAGAATTCTGATTGTTTGTTTTTACTTTTCTATAGTTTCATTTGATTTATTGCTGTTGTCTTGCATTTAAAACTTCAATGCTCAGAAAATCTCTATCTCCCCTGTAATCATTCTCTTCTCTTATGCCCATCTCTTACGAGAGGACAGAGCTGTTGAACAGGAAGTAAATACGCTGATTTGAAGAGCAATATTGTGGGATGCAGTGAACAATGTGCTCGATAACAATCTATGTTCAATATTGTTTAATACTAAATATTCATGTAGTTATCTGAGCCTGCCATGTTACACTCACGAGGTTGTGCTCAGTTTACGTGGTTTTACACTAAAAGCAAGTCATGTGGAGTGGGTTCCACTGGGCAGGGTTACAAGTCGCATGGCGCCGTAAAGATGGCGCCGTGGCAAGAGCTCTGGTGTGTGTCGTCTTCTCTGTCTGGCGCACACCGGGGTAGTCTTGCACAGTTTTTCCAATGTGGTTTTACTGCAAATGGCAAATAAATGAATCTGAATCTGAATCTGAAGTGAGCTCAGTCTGCTGTGAGCGGGACCAGAGTGAGCTCGGTCTGCTGTGAGCGGGACCAGAGTGAGCTCGGTCTGCTGTGAGCGGGACCAGAGTGAGCTCAGTCTGCTGTGAGCGGGACCAGAGTGAGCTCAGTCTGCTGTGAGCGGGACCAGAGTGAGCTCGGTCTGCTGTGAGCGGGACCAGAGTGAGCTCTGTCTGCTGTGAGCGGGACCAGAGTGAGCTCAGTCTGCTGTGAGCGGGACCAGAGTGAGCTCGGTCTGCTGTGAGCGGGACCAGAGTGAGCTCTGTCTGCTGTGAGCGGGACCAGAGTGAGCTCAGTCTGCTGTGAGCGGGACCAGAGTGAGCTCGGTCTGCTGTGAGCGGGACCAGAGTGAGCTCAGTCTGCTGTGAGCGGGACCAGAGTGAGCTCTGTCTGCTGTGAGCGGGACCAGAGTGAGCTCAGTCTGCTGTGAGCGGGACCAGAGTGAGCTCGGTCTGCTGTGAGCGGGACCAGAGTGAGCTCGGTCTGCTGTGAGCGGGACCAGAGTGAGCTCGGTCTGCTGTGAGCGGGACCAGAGTGAGCTCTGTCTGCTGTGAGCGGGACCAGAGTGAGCTCGGTCTGCTGTGAGCGGGACCAGAGTGAGCTCTGTCTGCTGTGAGCGGGACCAGAGTGAGCTCAGTCTGCTGTGAGCGGGACCAGAGTGAGCTCAGTCTGCTGTGAGCGGGACCAGAGTGAGCTCTGTCTGCTGTGAGCGGGACCAGAGTGAGCTCTGTCTGCTGTGAGCGGGACCAGAGTGAGCTCTGTCTGCTGTGAGCGGGACCAGAGTGAGCTCAGTCTGCTGTGAGCGGGACCAGAGTGAGCTCTGTCTGCTGTGAGCGGGACCAGAGTGAGCTCTGTCTGCTGTGAGCGGGACCAGAGTGAGCTCTGTCTGCTGTGAGCGGGACCAGAGTGAGCTCTGTCTGCTGTGAGCGGGACCAGAGTGAGCTCTGTCTGCTGTGAGCGGGACCAGAGTGAGCTCAGTCTGCTGTGAGCGGGACCAGAGTGAGCTCAGTCTGCTGTGAGCGGGACCAGAGTGAGCTCAGTCTGCTGTGAGCGGGACCAGAGTGAGCTCTGTCTGCTGTGAGCGGGACCAGAGTGAGCTCTGTCTGCTGTGAGCGGGACCAGAGTGAGCTCTGTCTGCTGTGAGCGGGACCAGAGTGAGCTCTGTCTGTTGTGAGCGGGACCAGAGTGAGCTCTGTCTGCTGTGAGCGGGACCAGAGTGAGCTCTGTCTGTTGTGAGCGGGACCAGAGTGAGCTCTGTCTGCTGTGAGCGGGACCAGAGTGAGCTCTGTCTGTTGTGAGCGGGACCAGAGTGAGCTCGGTCTGCTGTGAGCGGGACCAGAGTGAGCTCAGTGTTGGAAAGCCTCTTGGCCTCATGCGAATGACACAATATGCTGAAGATAATGAATAATATATTTAAGTTTCACTTTCAGTTTGATGTGAGAGAATGGAATGTTTTTTTTTTTTTTTTGGAAAACAGCTTGAGTTCTATCAGATTGGGTGAGCTTGGCATTGGGTCATTTTGAATAAAAATGATTTGTTTTGAACCACTCCATTTTATGTAATGGTTTGATATAAGCAAAGCATCCTCTGCAGGCAGGAGACTGGTGCACCTTTGTCATTTTACAGTTTTGCTTTTCTCTGCAGCAAATCAACCAAGATCTGAACATCCAGTTGCTCAAAGACGGTTACCGCCTCGATGAAATCCCTGATGATGAGGACTTAGACCTGATCCCGCCCAAATCTGTGAACCCCACGTGCATGTGCTGCCAGGCCACCTCCTCCACCACCTGCCACATACAGTAACAGCAGCAGCAGAACCAGACTACATACACACCACACAATTACAATTAGAGATAGACCAATAGTGGTCACTGCAATTGTTTAAAAAAGAAAATAGTATTATTTTTATTGTATAATGTATAGTTAATGCAGAAAATAAGTTCGTAGTAATTTCATATCATATCAAGTGGGGGAAATGATTAAACGGGCTCGTCATATCAATCTTCCATCCTTGATTCTGAATAAACATATTGGTCAATCTCTAATTACAACACAGTAACATAGTAGTAAAACATTTAGAAACAAACAAAGAATAATACTGTAACAGAAACAATAGTGATGCATTTTGACAAGTTAATGGAATATAGTAACTTAACTCCGAGCCTCAGTTGAGTATTGTAAAAACAGTTAAGTGCTATGATGGTGTTGACAATGAAAATAATGATGTTATATATTAGTTTAGGGATTAGAACATTGTGTTAGTGGGGTTTCCTCCTATGGCAGGACCACACTGTGAGCCCCTCTGCTGTCGTTTGGAAATAGATCTGAGACTGAGCTCAAAACTAAACTCACTCACTACTTCTTACCTGTTTGTTGTAATACATTATTGAAATATTCTTTTAGTATTTATTGCGCTGTCACATGTGCTGAGACCTGGTGTGTGGAGACAGCAGTGAAAGGAACAGTGTGTGATCGTTCCCAAATGTTGTAACGTAGCACAGGCTGAACCATCACTATCATCTTTGTCTTCTTTTCACTTTTTTTTTTCGCCCAATGCCTCGGGTTAAGCTACTGAGAAGTGTGAAGGGTGACTCCAGGGTGGAGGATCTGAAGGGACATGTTATCAGAACACAAGAGAGAATAGTAGTTTGTTTCATTTGATTTTGCACATTTGTTTTCTAAATTGTTTGCACAATTTCCGGCAAAACAATGATAGTACCTTATCTAATGGATACCGCATCAAAAGAGAAAGTAAATTGTTGCACAAGTAGGTCACCTATAATGATCAGTGATAAGGCCAAAGTTTACTGTTGTATCACCCCTGCTCTATGTTCCCTGTGGTTTTAACAATGATAATTGTGTGAGTATGTTCTCAACTTGTCACATACAAACACGTATGCACATGCATGCATGAGATAGTACCGTTTACATTTGGACATTTCTTCTGTTTAAGTTGTTTTGCAAATTAACAAATTGTGGCTGGTTCCAAGTACTTCTTTGATAATCCCTAATAAACTTATCAATTTGCATTTGCAGTATGCCTTAATACTATTGAGATGTTGTCATCCATTTCTTTACAACTTTTGTTCTCAATACAAATGTACATGTTTAAAAAAACATTTTAACAATGGTATTGATTTCATTGTGTTCTTAACCTATTCCACTATTATGGTATTTAACAATGTTATTGTTAAAAAAGTGGATTGTATGGGAAAAAAATAATAAATGCATTGCTCTAATGTCATGTTTTTTCCTTCCATATATCGGTTTCTTTATAACATGTGTATGTGCAGGTGTGATTTCATAAAAAAAAATGGGGTCATGGGGCTTGCAAAAGTAATCCTCCATGAGTTAGCACTTAAGTACAGCCACAGGTGGTCTGCACATCTACAGAGGGATTTTTCCCAATTCCATCTCAGGTTTCACCACTTTAGAGGAAGAGCATTAGTGAACAGCAGTTAGATTTTGCCACAGTTTCTGGATTGTCTTGTATGCATCTTTGATACAAGTACTCAAGTAAAGTCCTACAGAGACAATGGCGTAAGGTACTTTCTTGTGTCCTCTGCATTTGACCAATCTGTCAGGACCACGGCTCACTGAAGAGCATCTGGTCCCCAGATGTTGACCTGAGCTTGGTCAGGTCTGGAGCTGGAGGAGATCATCTCTATACACGACCCAAAAACATGTCCAGGTAGAAACATGCTAATTCTACCTTATAGCCTGGGCCTCCACATGATCAAACCCATGACCTTCTTGCTGTGAGGTATGAGTGCTACCCTCTCTGGTCAAGCACTGTACCTCAGTATAGTTTTCTCCCGTATCTGTACTTTACATGACTATTTATTTTTCTGTCAACTTTTCACTTTTACTCCTTACTTTTAACTCAAATATCTGCGCTTTCACCTCCTTACTTTTTAAATGGGTTATTTACTTTGCGGATGACATGACATGCAACAATGTTTGTCCATTTCATATGGTCTCATTTGGTTAGCCATGCTTCTAAGGTCAGAAGATATTATTTGCCAGCATGAAACATTTCTATGGAAAAGGTAAAGATAACGTTAAAAGTGACCTTTATCCTCTGCGTTTGACCTGTCCTGACGCTGTTGTCAGGAGCAGCGGTCCCCACCTCCAGATGTCGCTGCTCGGCTTGGTCAGGACCAAAGCTGGAGGATTTACCTATTCTGCATGTTTATATTTTTGTTTTTCGTGAGTGGTCTTTCTCCTCTCAGAAAGACCCTGCTCCGACTGGGATTAGCTGTTGTGGCATAGCAATTGACTGAAAGTTTTACATATGTTATTGGGTCAGTGTTATTGGCAAGCATTAGCAAATATATTTGACTAACCTCTCATACTAAGAACTTGTCTACATACAAGTGATTCTGTTGCAACAAAATATGGAAAATTCAATGAGAATTAATACTTTTAAGTCACCAATTAATACACAAGTAGTGAGTGAGAGAAAAATGATGAATGAGAGAAACAATGAAAAGCTCATTGGTCAGGGCCATTCAGACAACTGCAGTAGAAAACTCAATATAAGATTAAAAAGTGGGAAACAAACATGGAAAACATATTTTATTATGGAAACATTTTGCACCAAATGAATTTGAGCTTGATATAATAATATTAATATTAATAATAATAATAATAATACAGTATTGACTCTGGTGACAGTTCTGTAGATCAAGAGCCTTTGTCTGAAAGGCACCAGTTCAACGATACAAGATACAAACCTTTGAAAATGTTATTGATGTGGTAAGAAAACAAATCCCAATGCAAATATAAAACAGGTATATATTATAGTTATTGCAAAAGAAAAACAATAGAATGTCCCAAAAAAAAAAGACTAATTCTGTTCATGTTTGACACCATGGAAGGGCAAAAACAGCGCAGACAATCATGTGGCTGCATTCTCTGCTTCATAAGTGGCACTTGTGGTGTAAGACCAGTTTTATTGTCTAACTGTCTGAATTACAAGTTTAATAAACTGAATTTCCAGAACCTATAGAAAGGCACACACTGTCTGTCACAGTGAGAATTATGTATTCTTCACCCTGCTTTGTTGCTCAAATGTAAAAAACTAAAACAAATTGTAAACATTTGCACAAATCACTGAGTTAGATGTGTTACTGCTCTACAGTTCTGCTAATAACATATGCACATGTCACTACATTTCTATTTACAAATGACTGTGCTACATGCTTTAATTAAGTTCTAGTCAATTATATAAATACACACACACAATATTTTTCCAGACACACTTTAGTGTACAGTCTGGTCTATTTTAATATGTTGGTAATATGACAGGTCTATCTATATAACACTGTTGTAAATAAACTTGGACAGGACTGTACAGAAGCCCAGCAACCTGTTGATAAAGGATCATGTATCCACTATAATGCCATCCTTTTGAACACCATTGAATTCATGTGCGCGCGTGCGCGTGTGTATGTGCGTGAATGAAACCGAGGAGAGCATGTTTTCACAATGGCACATGCACACAAACGTAAGAGTGGTCAGATTGGTCAGTGGGATGGGGGTCACTCAGAGCCAGCGGGGCTCTGGTCTCCAGATGAAGAGGCCGACACGGAACAGAGGCGTCTCTTCGCTGCCCCTGAGCCCAGGAGCATGCTGGGATGGAAGCCCGCGTGTCTGCGTGCGTGTTTGGTCAGGTGGTCACTCCTCATGAAGCACTTGTCACACAGCGGACAATGGAAGCGCTTCTCCCCTGTGTGTGTGCGGTAGTGACGCGTCAGCTCATCGGAGCGGGAGAACTTCTTCCCACAGCAGGGCCAGGTGCACTCAAACGGACGCTCACCTAAACACCAGAAACATTTGTGTTACGTGTGTGTAATACTACTGCATATAACTACATTTGCCCAATGACTCACATGGACACTAGATTCTGTTCTATTTATATTAGTTTTCATCACAAGAATATCTTGAATGTACAGGCTACAATCAGATTGATGTGGATAAGACCCTTCTCTACCGCCCCCACCCCTCTGTGCGCCACTGAACCACGTGTCTGTTCTTGTTTACAACCGTGGTGAGGGGGAGTGGTGCTGGTCACGTGATGGGAAATAGTGTAGCTAAGGTTATGTCCGAACAGGAGTGTGTGGGAATGTCGCAGTGACCGGTGTGAATGATAAGCCAATATGTCACATCGACACTTGGACCTGACGCAGCGGCGTACACTCGGCTGTTATCAGTCCATGCATTCATCACTTATTATACAGTTAAATCTGTCTATACATATGGGTATATGAGCTGGTATATGTTTTGGGCGGTGATTTGAAAACTACCCCATGCAATGGTGATGTCATTATGGCATTTGAACAACCCCCTCCCTGCGTATGCAGAGATGTAATATCTTAAAATTGAGAAAAGACAATATTCCGTAGTTTAATGGTTTAACACGTGCACGATGTCCCGCTATGCAGCATGTGGTTGGTACTCCACCCAGTGCACTGCAGCGCTGCGTGGCGCAGACAGATGCATCTGATCTCATGATAAATCATTTGTGCGCACTGCTGTATTCACTAACGCTCTGCGCTTGTGAGTGCTCGTGTCTTACCCGTGTGGACCCTTAAGTGGGCTTTGAGGTGGGAGGATTTGCCATACAGTTTGCCACAGCCGGGAAAGGGACAGCTGTGCCTCTTCTCCGTAGTTTCAGGTCGAGGTTCACCCCTCTTTACGTGGGACTGTTTGGGTGCTTTTACCCGGCATTCTCTCCTCATGTCGAGAGAGGGAACGTCACTAGACGCGCCCATGACTCCAGGGTTACACTTTTTCAGGTCCAGCAAAATCATCGCCACCATCAATAAAGTGTGCTTCTCCTGTGTTTCCTTGAGCGTGTCCTCTGCGCGCCCTGTCCGGAGGGGAACACAGTCTGCAGAGAGCTCAGACATCACTGTTCTGGGACGGACTGCGAGGGTCCCACTGGGTTCCGCCGTAAACACGCGGTTCAGGATCCACACGTGTCGTCTCCAATGTGACTGATCCACCAAGGTTGCGTATTCTCCCAGATCAGGCGCAGGGCGGGTAAATAAACAGCCCTACGCTGAGATACCGCCGCCGCCTTGTTTCTCGTTCTTGAGGCAAAAGTTAGTAGATATGAAAAATAGATCCCATTTACTGCTCCACGGTGCTTTGCTCAAGTGCGTCTACAGCTCATGCGTCAACTTGTCCTTATTGTGTGAGCGACTCTTCTTCCAAATCCCAAGAAACAATTTCGCGGAATCCCACGTTGTCATCACTAAGCTGCTCTGTGATTGGCTGGGACGAAACGTGAACAACGTCCCCCCTTCTACTAGCTGTGAGAGTAGCGTCATCCAATGGAAAAAAAATACATTGGGAGATTTGGGGGCTGGTCTGTGGAGTGTGGTGCCTTCAAATGCGCACGAGATAATGTAAAAAACAATTCTAAACAGTGTTCTAGTTCCTCGTTGAACTGTGCATAACCCTTTCTAACGGTGCTCACTTGATTATTTTGGGAGAGCAGATGCAGTAACGCTTCAAACGAAAATACACAACAACCCAATCCGACCTTATATGTTGTTGCCATCATGCCTTCAGCCTGTGCACATGCTTGAGATTGTTGAGCAAGTTTTACAGCTGGAATGGCCATAACCCAAATGAGTCTCCCCAGGGTTAGACTTGAACTGTACTTGACACGGCAGCAAGTTCTGTAAACATCTTTCCACTTCAATAACACTCGGATTATTTAGACTAGCCCAAAGTTGAGTCACATGTAATGCCAACCTCGCAGTGTAATAACCATAGATTCTGAATATAAGAGCACTATGAGGGGGCGTTTCCACAAATCTGTGTGAGGAAAAAGTGCATGAACATTGAACTTTGATTGAAAGACAACTATAGACTGTAGACAACAAGTTCAGATTGTTCAGATTGTGCAGAGGTTCTTGAATACAACACAAGGCAGCTCCGGGACATGGGCGTGCGGCTGCTTCATTCATGGCCGGAGTTCCTAGAAAAGCACATTGGATCTTGGGGGCGGATCCCACAGATGTAGGCAGTCCTTATCGATTTGACAAACGGCCGTGCGGTTGTTTATAACATACAGAGCCAGTAAAAAATATAAGCATGTTCTGCGGAGTGAATGGGCGTTGCGTCGGTGTGCGCCTTAATGTGTCACACCATTTGAACCCCGTGCCCATAGTTCCTCTTGGAGCCTCCTTTCTGCACTCCAGCAGCAGTCCAATTTCCTCAAGTGTATGGGCTAGGACAAAGCCGTGTGCGCAATAACTAATGGCAATAACACACGACACACAGTCAGCGTGGATAGGCCTTGCATGTGTTGGATAGGCTCCTGGCGGTGCTGGGATGTTTGCATGCATGTGGGGAACTCGCAGCAGTCCTGGCGCAGAAGCTGTTTTTGATTCTAGGGCAGAACTGAATGTTCCCGTGGACGTACTGAGATGACGCACCAGTGCAGCCCAAGCACTGCTGTTTGAACACTTCTTCAGAGTCATAGTCATGAGTGGATACGGCCGGTGAACGAGTTCTACTTACTCATCGATCAAAATGCTCGAAAGTAGGCGTGGCTTAGACATTTTTCACAATAAAAGCCCACTGCCTCTGCGGGACCTCTAAAGTCCGAAATAAAGACTTCTTTCTCGTAGTGTTTCTGACGAAGGATTGCTATCACATATAATCAACGTAAATCAGATGTGTTGTTGCTGTTCCATATACTGTCTGTGAATCGCGAACTGTTTCCCATGACACTGACCTGAACAGCTGCAAGGTGCGCAGTTTAACCTGGAGCTGCGGTGGGACTGTGGTGTTTCCATTCAATAAACACGCTCACAACAGCGATTTACAAACACATGACCAGCGCCTGCTCTCACACATTGTTCTCATATACTACAGTCATAAGAAATATTGATGTAGAAAAAGAAATCACATGTGGAATTAATGCTGTATGTGATCGCTATCACAGACCAGGAAAAGGACGTTCGGGTTGTATGAGTGAGCAATAATGTGACTAATAATGAGCATGCAACTGTGACAGGACGAACATGTGTGTGTGTGTAAAGCATGACAGCAGCAAGAGGGTGTCACTGAAAGATGACAGCAGACGGCCAAACACATGTTTTATTTGTAGAGTGGGCTAGATCCACCTGCGTGTCCGCGTACTCGCACCCCGCTTCATCTGTCTCCAAAGCATTGTAACGCAATGTCACTGGCAATAGAATGGTACACCCTGTTCCTGTTACCTGTGTCGTGTAGCCACAGACACACACACATAGATCGTACGCTCGGACGCGGTTTGGTACGTGGTGCAGCGACAGATTAACGTCTCAGAGACGTCTCTGCAGCATTTCTCTGTCACAGCGCTGCGGACTATGTGTTTTACGCGTTGCTCGGTCACAATTTCATGTCACAATTGTTCCCTTGTGTGCAGTATGACTGGACCAACATAAACATTTGTAATGAGCACAGCACAACACTGACATGAGCAGCTGCAAGGTTTGCAGGTGTACCACGTCCACCCCAAATATACATCATTTTGGCCATCTGCTACTGTCAGCGACATGTCCAGCAATCAACATTAATTTGTATGCATATTCATCATCATTCATGGGCATTGGTCTTTCTCTATGAACCAATACACATGGGTTCAATATTTCCTGGGTCTTCGCTGTTGATTCTCCAATCTGTGTTGGTGATTTCAACGTGTCTGTGTGGTCCTCTGAGATGACTGCTGCACAGTCCATCTCACACAAGGCACACATCTTTACATGAAACACACACAAAGATTAAACACCAGGCAAATCACACATGCAATGAAATAAACAAAACATCACACAAGGGACTCTTAATAACCACAGTGCACAACAAAATGGAGATACAATTCCTCGCACACACAACCCTCATCATAACTTTCATTTGAACATTGTCTTCCCCCACATGTTTAGTCTTGACTGTGGGCGCCAGCAGAGTCAGACTGATCATATGGCACCAACATGTCACAGATGTACCCTGGTGCGGGGCCGTGTTGAATCAGGCCTCCATAGAATATATATGGCTGGGAGAAAACCCACTGGGCCATCATTGCACGTTATTACTGGCCTAAAATGGAGAGGGACATTCAGTCATGGGTATGTTTGGGCCTATTGACTGTCTATATAATGCACTCAGTGGCTTTGATCTCAATAATGTAAAATCTTGATGAGGATTTCTTATATTGCTATTATTACTAACAAAAGGTGTGAAGCAGTGCACTGAGTGCCAAATTTCTATCGCTTTGGCGCCCCACAGAGGATCCTCACAGACGTGGCACTGAATTCATCAATAAGGTAGGCCTAGGGAAGAATAAGGCTGTTCGTGTTCAGGATTGTGTCATTGCTTGTGAATTCCGTTGATTACAGCAGTATGCAGACAACTAGGGGTGAAGCTCAGTATGTGTTCCCCCTACCACCCTTCCACCAATGGTTTGATGGGGAAGGACATAGGCAACAAGGTGGGTGTTTCCGTATGGACAGCGAAGATGAGGAGACCGCAAGCCTGAAGCCCCTGATGGCACTGTAAGAAACGTATGACTTTGGGGTACCTGTTATGGAGGGTTGTTAGTGGAGCATGAATCTCACAATGTTCACACCTCTGTCTGTATTCCAGTTCTACAGCTGATCACAGCAAGCATGAGCACCATGTGTTGTGGAGCCGAATTGGGCCATTTAGTCTCTTCACAAGCAACTTCAAGTACTGCAAGCTAGAGGGACACTTTGTAAACATTCTTGTTCACCTTTTGTGTGTATTCCTAAATGTACAAACATGTCAATGTGCACATAACTGGTAAAATGATCAGGCAATAACAGCCCAGAACATGACATCCACTCATTGAGTATACATGTCTATTAGTATATTATTCCTGAGTAGTAACGTGAGACTATGGGCTCACCTTAGCTCCCAGCTATTGGACTTAATTGGATTCATGGAGTTGGAGGCCTGATTCAACACGGCCTCGCACCAGGGTACATCTGTGACATGTTGGTGCCATATGATCAGTCTGACTCTGCTGGCGCCCACAGTCAAGACTAAACATGTGGGGGAAGACAATGTTCAAATGAAAGTTATGATGAGGGTTGTGTGTGCGAGGAATTGTATCTCCATTTTGTTGTGCACTGTGGTTATTAAGAGTCCCTTGTGTGATGTTTTGTTTATTTCATTGCATGTGTGATTTGCCTGGTGTTTAATCTTTGTGTGTGTTTCATGTAAAGATGTGTGCCTTGTGTGAGATGGACTGTGCAGCAGTCATCTCAGAGGACCACACAGACACGTTGAAATCACCAACACAGATTGGAGAATCAACAGCGAAGACCCAGGAAATATTGAACCCATGTGTATTGGTTCATAGAGAAAGACCAATGCCCATGAATGATGATGAATATGCATACAAATTAATGTTGATTGCTGGACATGTCGCTGACAGTAGCAGATGGCCAAAATGATGTATATTTGGGGTGGACGTGGTACACCTGCAAACCTTGCAGCTGCTCATGTCAGTGTTGTGCTGTGCTCATTACAAATGTTTATGTTGGTCCAGTCATACTGCACACAAGGGAACAATTGTGACATGAAATTGTGACCGAGCAACGCGTAAAACACATAGTCCGCAGCGCTGTGACAGAGAAATGCTGCAGAGACGTCTCTGAGACGTTAATCTGTTGCTGCACCACGTACCAAACCGCGTCCGAGCGTACGATCTATGTGTGTGTGTCTGTGGCTACACGACACAGGTAACAGGAACAGGGTGTACCATTCTATTGCCAGTGACATTGCGTTACAATGCTTTGGAGACAGATGAAGCGGGGTGCGAGTACGCGGACACGCAGGTGGATCTAGCCCACTCTACAAATAAAACATGTGTTTGGCCGTCTGCTGTCAT